TATATATATATATATATATAATTAAATTAGGAGGGGAAGGGAGGCGTGAGCATGTCATGTGAGTGAATGTTTGATGTGTTATCAGTTATGTTATACATGTCACATCCATGAGCCAACTCACGCACCATGTTTCTTATTTATTTATTTTTTAAATAAATATTTCTCCAAAAATCATTTTTTTTATTTTAAATTATTATTATTTATATATATATATATATAAAAATGGGAATTTATTAATGGAAAAGTCAAAAGGTAAGAGTTAAAAAAAGAAGAAACAGCAGAAGAAACAGGGTCAGAACTCTGCTGCATATTACCATTAACCCTTATTTTTTTTTTTTAAATATTAATAATATTATTTTTTTAATTATAAAGTTTTAAAATGGTAATTATGAGTTAAATTAAATTAAGCTTTGGTCACTGTGTGCTGTCGGGTGTCTTCATCTTTTCATTCATACACAGACAGGCAGCTAGCCATTTAGAGGAGGTGTCGTAGTAGTAGTAGTAATAGGATGCATGAAAGTCCGAAAATGCCCTTCCCTTCAGAGGGGTACTTTGGGTAATTATAAATTATCTGTGATACTCTCTGCATGGCTGCTTATAGAGAGACACACTTTTCATTCGCATTGGGACTCTACAAAGAATACAAACATCATTTTTCCTTCTCTCTCTTGGGAATCAAAATCCGATAAATTTTTTTCCTTTGAGTTTAAGCTCTCGTGACTTTGTTTTTATAAATTTATGATTATCTCGTTAATTAGTCAATCTTGGTCATGACTCAATATTCTCAACAAAACTAATAGAGTTTCTTTATACGTGTTGTGGCCTGACTCATATGCTTCGTACGAATTTTTTTATAAGGTCACCTAATAGTTGATATGGAGTGGGAGAATTCGAACTTTCGGTATTACTTAAAGTTATGTGGTTTAGTTGCTACACTATAGATATTTGGAAAGTTTAATGTTGTTTTGAAAAAATACGGAGATTCAAACATTTGACATTTTGGTCAAATATGTATTACGTGTAAAGTCCCACATTGATTGGAGAAATGAACGAGTGCCAACGAGGATAACCCTGAAAGGGAATGGATTGTGAGATCACGTATCGGTTGGAGATGGGAACAAATCATTTTTTATAAGGGTGTGAAAACCTTTTCCTATCGTATTGTTTTAAAAAATTTGAGAAAAATTTCAAAAAATAACAATATTTACTAACGACAGGCTACTACGTTACGAGTATACGAGTATCTATCATTGTTCTACATTCGTTATTTAATTTCGTGTCTAATAAAAAATTAAATTAATTAATTCTGTGTATAAATAATTATAAAAAATGAAATAATAATAATGTGGGAAGGTGTCAGAAAAAGAGGGCATTATATGTTTACTCACTCAGCTACTGTTCCGCCGGCTTCTTTCTGCTTCCTTTCCTTTCCACTTTTTTTCTAATTAAATAAATAAATAAATAAAGTTTCCGCAATCAGGCCGTGGGCCCCACGGGAGCAGTGACAACAAAAGTGTATCCTTAAAACTTCAAATAATTAAAATTTTAAAATTTTAATTAGGAATGAAACAAATAATACTTTATTTTAAAATTTTAAAAATGTTTCTTTTTTAACTTCAAAAGTTTTTTAAAAATATAATGGAATTTATTTTAAAAAATTTCAAATATACCATTAATTTAAAAAATAAATTAAAAACATCTCTAATATTTTTAAAAAACTTCAAAAGTATCCGTCTCAAAAGTAACATTAATATTATTAAAATTTTACAAAAAAAAAAATTAGAAGATAATCTTCGAGATATAAATAAACGAATTTTGCCCATATTTAATAGTAAATTTTTTTTTAATAAAGATTAAGAGTTTTAAATATTATGTTAAGAATTTAGTGGGTTTTTGTTAATATTAATAAACTATTTAAAAGATTAAAATTAGTCTAAATATTTAATATATTAAATAATGAATGTTTAAAAATAGGGAAACAGGGGTGGGCAAAAAAGAGATAATAATAATAATAATAATAATAATAATAATAATAAAAAAGGGGTGGGGGCCTAAGGAGAGATTTCATTAATGAGAGGCGTGGTAGGACTCGTGATACCCTAGCCCTATCCCTATTCTATTTTCCATAATTTCCAATTTTTTTTTATATCATTTATTCATAATTGCGCTTTTTATTTTTTTTCTCTCTCTCCTTCACCTTAAATATTCTAAAATTAACTTTTTAATTCTAATTCTCGTATTTCTTAAAAAATATTTTATTTTTTTAGAATTTTTCTGTCAAATTTAATTTTACAAAAATAAAAATAAAAAGTTACTAATATAAAGTACTTTTATTATTATTATTTTTTTTTTTTTTGTGACAATCTCACGCAGTGGACTTGTGATTGTGCGGCACTCAGTTCTCAGCAACGAGTGAATTAAGTCTATTTGTTATTGCGTCACCTACGGCTAAACGATGCATGCTCGAGCCTCTGGCCTTAGTTCAAGAAGAAAGTTTTAGAAAACGGGGACAGAGAGATTTCGAAAGAGAGTTTTGAAAGCAAGATTTGAAGAATTGAAATTGGTGTTAGATGGAAATGTAAGCAAAAGTCAACAATTTAATGCTTATAACTATCAAGTAGGGAGAAGTTGACAACTCACATGTATGTCGCAAGGACAACATGTTATATGGACTCGTGTTGAGGTACGTGGGATAAGTCTCACGGGAGGCATCAAACTGACCTTCTAGAAATTTTTCTACAATGCTTTTGAATTTTTTCCTAAAATGTATCGTAGTAAGGACAACATGTCAGAAGGATTTGTGTTTAATCCCGATACGAGTTGTTAAATAACGTAAAATTTTGTATTTCAATTTAGTTTACGTTAAATTTGGCCGATGATGTATAATTTATGATTTATTTGTAAAATAATCGACAACAAAATAACTACGACAACTAAAATAATTATTATTAAACATCCAGAATCATAACATAATAAATGTAAAAGTTTAGGGTTAATTATATATTTAAAAAAATTGAGCAAATAAAAAAGAAAAGTGGTTCAAATTATAAAGGAGTTGGAGTGTAGGGTTATAATTGAGTGACGTGGCAGGTGAAGGGGACTGTCATTTTCAGGTTTAATTTTTTTTTTTGCATTATTTGGTCGCCTATTAATATGATCCAACGGAACACACCCAATTTTTATTATTTTTATTTCATTTTTTATTCGATAAAATAATAATTTCCTTAAAAAAAAAAAAAATATCTTTTATGTTTTATTTTTTACTTTTTTATATATTTTTTAGGGCCAATTTAATAAAACTTTTTATTTTAAATTTTGGTTTCTAAAAAATCTCCCTTTTACCCACATGGTCAACTAGCGTCTAAGTTTAGATGTATTAATTACTATATCATCGTATTAGGTCAATTAATCTCAAATTTATAAGAAATATTTAGAAATTAATTCAAAATTTAAGAACGAACTTGAAATTAAATAAAAATTTCGAGATCCCAACGGTTATTTTCAAACTTTAATGATTAAATATAAACAAAATTTAAATTTTGTGGACTAAATTTAAATTTTAATGACTAAAAAATTATTTTAATTTTTAAATGTAATGTTTTGATGGATAAAATTTTAATGGTAAAGTTAAAATAATAAAATGATATGGGTACCTAAAAATGGTTGAATATAGTATCTTTATATCACGTGGATATTGAATGGTAATAAGAAGCTGAATATTTGGGTGTTGAAAAGTCCATTTCATAATTTATAATTTAAAATTATTGTGATGAATTATTGTATTCTTTACATTTAATTATAAGGAAGGTTTGAATGTATAGATGAAAAATAAATGCAATTGTTATATAAATAACCAAACCCTATATATATATATATATATACTCTCAATAATTTCACCTACCAAACTCAATGTGCTCAGTCTATCAATTTGAATGAGTAGTTAGGAGGAGGAAATTTTCAAATTTCTTCCCAAAAAAAACTTATAATTTTAATGTCCATTTTAATTTATTGTCATTTTTCTGCCCTTTTGTTTTGACGATTGATTTACCATAATAATGATACAAATTTCGTGCAATGAGATTATCCATATTCCTTAAATGGGCAAGACTCGCTCAGATATTTTTTCGATAATATCTTCATTGCATGGAATGCCACACTCAATTGTCAGCGACAGGGGACCCTGTCTTCATTAGGTATTTCTGGCAGGAGCTCTTTCGTTTACAAGAGACAGAATTTAACATGAGTACAGCTTTCCACCTCAGACCGAGTCAAGATGTTCACTTTATAGAGATAGAGAACGTTTTTGGACCAGTGAACAGGACTTTCAAACAAATAATGAGATTTCAAGTGACACAAGTATTCAAGGTTCGTTCCTTCTTTTGATTAAATCGTTTGAATCCAACCGATATTCCATGATTAACACAAGACTAAATGCTAATTACTCGTCAATGTCATGCTATCCCTTCCTTGTTGTCTTTGGTTCAAAATTCCTCGAAGAGAATTGATAATGCAAACACAATTATTTTAGTCCTTATGCTATAAATTTTCGTTAAATCCAAATATTTGTATAGTGATTGACTAAATATGGAAGCAAAATCAGACCGTGACAAAATAAAGATTGTTTGCATCCTATTTTTCAAAAGAAAAAAGAAAAAAGTCATAATTTTATCATTTCTTAATTATAAAATGTAAAATAAATAATAAAAAATATTAAATAAAACAATAATTTAAAATATCTATTTTTCAAAGATTATTATTCTTTATGCAAAATGTAAAGCTTCATTCCTTTATGTGTAAAGAAATTGTTGCAGTGATAACAGTGGTAAAAATAATGATAATAATAAAGGTAAGAAACAGAAATAGGCTTCAGTATTTCCTTCTCACAAACCAAAAAGATAAAAGAGATAAAAACGTAATCAAATGGGTAAAATAAAATAAGAAATTACCGTTGCAAAGAGCTTCATATGCAGCAGTAACAAAAGTAGCTGAAATTCCCAATATACACAATCCTATCAAAGAGGAAACCCTATATTGAAATTGAAACTCGTGGAAGTTAGAACAGATAGAACATGTAATGGATACAATATCACTCACTCAGTCAAACTGTCATTTTCTATCACAGATGACAGGAGAGTGCAATGTTCAATTATTGAAACCACACATAAAATGAGCATTTGTAGCGAATATGATGATATCAATTATATAGCTTCCAAGGGTTAAGACTGTTATATTGCAGGATCAGCAGTTCATAACATTCGACGGTCAAGACATATGCAAGCACATCTCTCTATGATCAATTTAAAAGTTCAATCGAGAGAGTAGAACGCGAAATGCAGAAACAACACGCAGCTTCATTTTGTATATATGCTTGATGAGGGTACCTTGATCTCCACAGATATTTCTCCTGTTCATAAGTCAAAAGGAACAGAACGCCAGAATCAGATATGACCAACCAGTCCACTCTCTGAAGTCTTCATAGAAACACAAGGTTGCACTATAAAACGAAGAACAATAAAGATCTTGGAAACCCTATCCCATATACCTAATTGTGAGATATATGTCTCTAAAGGAAATATAGAATTTTTGCAAAGCTCCCGCTAGTTCAACAAGTCACGAATACATTAATATAGAATATGCAATATCGTTATGTCTAGAGTGAGATTTCACATAATAAGAAACAAAAACTTACTGATTTCATATATATATATAAAGAAGATAAGAGTGCAGAGAACATCCTCATAATATACTTCTAGATACCTCATCCGCCTCTGTTGTATAGTTATGCTGAATCTGCATTGTGCCAACCATGAGTGCAGGGTGGAATTTCCATAAACTCGTCAAATTCCTTAACGTGAACGTCGCAGCATTTCCACTGAAAATCAAACGTATAGTACAACAAGAAAATATAAATATCATTGTTTGGCAGTTTATATTGAAGCACCATGATGATAAAAATAGTGTTATTTCAAGTTTAGTAAACATATGTATCTCACCCCTCTCAGCCGGTCATGAAAGACTGCAGGTCCGGGATGGTAACTACAGGCAGTGTCATGATTATCCATCTCTGTGAAAGTTTTACCACATCCCTTATTCTTGCAGATCTGAGGTTCATTTATGCCTACTGTCTTTTTTGCTGGAGCAGGCGAGACCTGAGAATCTATATTGCTTGCAGGGGGTAAATTTGAGGCTTGATTAATAGATTTGTTATTGCCTTGGACTTGTGAACCTAAGATCAAAACTTGGATTAGATTACAGCATATAGTTGAGAAAAAGATAAGAATACCAAACTCATCAACCATGACAGAAAATCAAGGAATTCGCACACTCCTGGATGCAAAATTGTGACAACATATAATAGAACAGGATGCAGAGAGATTTTAAAACATAGAACTGAGAAGAAGACAATCACTCAAAGCATTTGAACTTCAATCTATGAAAACAACACTTTTTAGCTGAATTCTGTGCAGATGGTCCATTAACACGGCTAAGATAAGCTTAACAAATTTTATGAATCTTTACTATACATATTCCAATCCTCTCAAATTTTCCGCAAAAATTGATCAATACAGAAGGTTTTCTGTAATTGATCAATACAGAAGGTTTTCTGTTACTGCAACTTCATACTCATAATAAAAATATCTAAGCCCCAACAACACCACAATTTCGGAGAAGAATTAGAAAAAAAGTAACAAAACGGGCTTACCATGATCTGAACAAAAGAAACCTTGCCGGCACCTAGCGCATGACTCTTTTCCTAATGTATTTGTCATGGAAGACACAGGAGCCGGACTTGGCTTCTTCACGGACGTGGTAGGCTTGGTCAAAACTGGCTTTTCCGTTGTATGTTTTCCGGTCTTGCATCTTCAGTAAAAAAGGTCAATATAAAAACTACAACTTGGATTCAACTTAAAAAGCTTTTGAAAACCAACCTAAGCGTGTTCATACCTTCAATCTTAGTCTTAAACACAAATTACATACATGCTCACTTATATAAATTGTGGATAGATTAGGTTAGCAAAACAAAATACATTCTTTGCTGAACATGTCACATATGACTGTTGAAGCTAACCAATTAGAGAGAGGAGTTTTTGCAAGCTAAACCCAAAGAATAAGCTCATGAATGAGGACGGCATACAAAGACAACCGGTCTACGGCAGTTGGGTGACAACAGCGGTTAGAGTTAGTTCGACGGCAGCAACTAGGGTTGGGTCCATCAGGGAGAGGATAACAATTGTGTAAGTCTTCCAGTGCACTTACTCTTTAAGTCTTATCTTACTTGATTAGAGTAGCTTTCTGTAATGGGGCTTCCTTTTGTGGGCTCGTTTTTTTTTTTGTATGCCCTTGTATCCTATCATTTTTCTCATTGAAAGTTGGTTCTTTAAAAAAGAAAAAACACAAAATCTTGCAAGCTTTCTTAGAAACCAAATGTAGTACGGTCAGACAATTGTCTTGAAAAAAATAGTTGATGGGGATGCAAACTGTACTAGATCGTCACAAATAAAAAAGAAAAATAAAAATCACATCACCCATATTTTAGAATGTGAGGGGGCATTGTTGCAGACACAGGACCCAAGACAGGAATTTGAATATAAAAATGAATATACAATTACATTTAAGAAAATGGTAAATGTAATAAAAAAAATTGACGAATTAAAAAAACGGTTATTGGTCCTGTGGGTGGGATTTGATCAGTATTTTTATAAAATATCTGCAGCTGCATAAACAATATTGATATTTGTATTCTAGGCAAATGGGGGAATGGAATCAACAAACATAAGATCATATCAATTATGGATGGTATGCTACTGAACATTTAAAGTTCACTTCTAGGCAAAACTCAGATAAGAGCAACAACATTGCATTGATTTTCAACTAAAACTAAAATCGTGAAAAGGGATCTGACCCTGGAATCTCTAAAAATAAACTGAAGTCGTGGCTTCTTTTCTTGCAACAGCTCCATTCTTTCATCCCATCATGAAATAGAGGCTGTAAAAATTATTTCGACCTCAACCATATATCAAATATATATTTTAAAGAAAATATGATCATTGGATGAAAAGAAACTAAGATATTCTTAGAGCCATAGGTGGATGAGAACTTACTCCCTGGAAAAATGGGAAACACAAATATGAACCAAGCCCATGGCCGAGGAGCATGTAAACAGGCAAAGAGAGAATTAGTAAAATATACGCTACACAGCAAAGGAAAAAGATAACATAATTTGTGGAGGAAAGCATGTTACAACTAAATAGTTGTTTTTAATTAACTGAGTTTTTTTTTATACACATTAAACTGAGAGTATTATTATACATACAATTTCAAGTACCACCTGCATAAGCTTAGATGTACCAAAAGCGCCTTTCAAGCTGCAAGTTACGAAAACAAGAGAGTTGACGCCCTACCCCAAAGCCTACATCTGTTCAATCTCAGCTGAAACCTCCAGGGGTCCCAAGGGTGGTCTACGATATCACAGCCTTGAGCAACAAGGCAATCAACCCTCCTTTCAAAGTCCCTATGAGCGACTACGCCAATCTTTATAGTTTTGGCCACATCTATTTCCGCACCAAGGAGGAAGGTTTGAATCTTTCAATCTTACATCATAAGGGATGTGACCAATGTTCCATAAGACCACAACTTCAACTGTTCTAAGATTCACCTCCAAATAAAGAGTAGGTAGTTCAATCCTTTCGGACATTGGGTACCTGTAGCAATTTCAGGAAGTAAGGGGCAGTAGCTTGCCCGAAGTAAGGGGCAGAGAGAAGGATCAACTTGAGGTGGACAACTCAGTTATGAGGACATTGCTCAAGCTGCAACTACTATGATTGCATTATCTTGAATTCTTGGATGAGATTTTCACGATTGTTTAACAGCTAGTGCTTGCATGGCTTTAGATTTCATAATTGACTTTAATGGAAATCGGAGTTTAATTAATTATCCTCATACATTCAATAGGCACAGTGGAATTTGTACGATACAAAAGAATTTTGACATAATCTTTTGAAATACAGAAAGGAGCCGCAAGTAGTTTGAATAAACCTGCCTAATGACAAATACAACAGAAACTTAACAGGATCCCTGAACAAACTTATAACAAGGATAACAAACTAACTACAATTATACGTCATTAGACTTGGCTAATTCAGGATTACTACTGAGAGAACTTTTATGTGTGTAGCCGAAGTTCACCACGGAGCCAACTACTAAAGGCTTTAAAGTTGAAGGTTTGTCCTTGGTTAAGAAACTGTTGGGGTTTGCATAGCCCAAACTTTGCAGTCAACTCAGTTGAGAAGGGTTACAACCATGAAAGCTTTAACGGTTTTGGAGCTGAAATTTGTCATGGACCCAACCTTTAGAGCCTTCTGGCAAGATAGGTTGGGGTTTTACAACTACTAGTTGAGAAACTGTTGAGGCCAACATAACCTCAGACTTCAGCCAGGCTCATGAAGTCATAATTGTGAGAGCTCTTATGGCTTTTTAACTTCTAGTTGAGAAACTTTATAAAAGATGGTCAATGAAGAAAAATAGTACCGTTGTACAATTTTCAACTTATGTGAGCATAAAATATAATGTTACATCCCAATGTGTTAAAATGGTTTTAAACCACTCAAGAATCTTTTCATTGACCCCTGCTACAATCACGACGATGAAATACAGAACTGAGGAAATTCAGTGCACCTCACCAGCCGCTGAAGTTTGAAACTATAGTTCGTATGAACCACGAAGTCTCTAACTAAACGATTTGGCAATTTTCTAGTCTATAACATTTTCTTAATACCATTGGAGGTCGCAGGACCAAAAAGGTCCTATCGTCATGAGAGAACAGTTGTAAATCAACTTAAACGATCTTGTAAGCATTGTTAAAAAAATTATGTTAAACCAGCAATGAGCAATATAATCCAAAATGCTAGACAAGAATTTCTGAACACTCACTGCCAGACTAAACTAATTCATCTTCTTTGGTTTCCATAACGAACAGATACACAAGTAAGGATGGTTTTACAAATTCCAAACTGAAAATCAAGAACAACGATCCGCAATTCTCAGCGTATGAAGGTCGATAAGAGAAGAAAGGGCACGAGTGAATTAACGTACCGAATCATGGTATTGGCAGGAACCTTCGGGATTGTCGTCCTCAGTAAAGGTGGCGTTGCAGCCAATTCTCTGGCAGCGAACCCTAGCAACCTGATTCTCCATAGCTTCAGAAACGATGCGAATGCAAGAGAATTTGACGACTGAAATTGAATCTACAGCGCCTTCATTGTCTCGCAGCGAACCCTAGCAACCTGGTTTTCTTTTTTATTTTCTTTTTCTTTTTCTCATTTCTTGGTAAATAATCCAAATTAACTCCCTTTTGAAAAAAACTTGGATAAAAGTAAACCAATTCCAAAAAAAGGTATTTCCAACCTTTTTTTAAATTTTTTTTTTCACGAGGTCTACGACGGACTTCTTCTAATACTAGAAGACACCCTAAACTGAAGCATGTCGTGCTTCGACCGTGTCTCCGGAGCACAGTTGAATGTAGATATCATGAACGTGTTTGATCCAATAGAGAAGAAGGTGCTAGTCAACCGAGATGGGCAAGTGAATGAGTTAATACTCCATCAGTGGTTCATAACGAGAGTTACAGGTTTAGGGGTTAGGGTCGTGCTTTTCTCAAAACCCCAATAGCTCTCTCGAATTGAATCAACATTACAAATTACAAATTTGATCTTGACTAAATTCTAACCTGAAATCACGAACCATTTTTATTATAAATTTCTAAGTTGGAGTAACAAAACCTCCATTTTGTTGAACTTGAAGATGACCAAAACACTCAATGGAAAAAACAGCAATACTCATTAAAGCCATACCAATGAGACAGCCACTGGCCATTGCTCCCCACAATGTTCCAACTCTCACCATTTTTCTCTCTTCCTTCTCTTCTTTTTCATTCTCCACACACTCATAAAACTCCCCACCCTCCTCCTCGTCATCCAAACAACTACTCGCTACGTCTCCATCGTCGTTCAAGCACGACTCAGTGCAAGAACAAGTAGACACATCGTCAACATGATCGACCAAGTCCTCGGCTTTGCAATTGCGGAAGGCGGGTTCGAGTTGGGCAAGGCGGCGGGCAATGTGCTTCAAATGTCGAGGCTTGCTTGGGCATGAGGCGACCTCGGCGGAGAGGAGATTGGCTATGAAAAGCCACTTTTGGTGGATATCTTGGAGGAGGGAAGGGTGAACGTTGTTGCGAGAGAGTTGTACTTGTCGTTCAAGTTCTTCGAGTTTCTTCCGTAGAATTGCATACGTTTTTGTCATCTTTTTTGGGTTTGGTTTGGAAACTTTTGGGAAAGGGAATTAGGGGACATGGTTATAGGCGTTGGCCTTGTTAAGGAACTCAAAAGGGTGTGATGTGATCATGAAGGGTTACATGACCGTTGCCACCTTTTCAGTTAGACCCTTACACTTGTTTTTTTAATACTTGTCTTACTTCAAATTCAACGACTCAACCGTTCTATTATGCCGTACAAAAGTTGAGAAAATACATAATAAAAATAATCACTAAAATGTCTAATTTTATCGTCTTTTATCGAGACGATGAAAATTTTTTAGAACCATAAATAAATGTAAGACAAGCATCGCGTCTATCAGTTTTACGTTCAAATTTGAAATTTACGAAAAACTAATTTGTATTTTTATGAAATTTATATATTTTAAAGACATACTACGAACAATTATTTTTAAAGGCTACAACAATCCCAAAGGAAGCCTAAGAGATATGTTATTGGCTCCTTGATGAAGTCAGCACGACATCGATAGGGACGGTTGACATCCATCTAATTCTGGATTTTCTTGTAGGGTGGAAAGAAATATAAATTTTTTAGATTTGGAAATGATATCATCATGCTTTGCAATCTCGAAAAGATTGGACGAGTTTAACCTAGATGAACTAGAATTGATCGATGAATGTAACGCAACAACTCGAGCTCTCACTTGAGAGTGTTACAATTCAAGAATCTGAATAATGACCTTCACATTATGACCACCAAATTTGATTTACTTGCAGAACAAATATCATCAACTGATCACTCACAGTTACAGAACTTTAATCCAAATTGCATCTGTTAAATGATACCTGCAACGCAAGTAGGGGCCATTTTATTCTGTATCCTTCTATCTCTAAGCTGCAAAGAGATGACTGGAGACACTACTGGCTTATAGTTAAAAGCAAAATACAGCCATCCATATGTACATCACTATGTACAATAGCCAAATCCTTCATTTATTATGGAGGTTTTTGCTAAGTGATGCAGACAAATACACAAAGTAGTTCGGGGGAGAGAGGCGGGGTCGGGAATGCAGTGATCTACGATCTGCAACTCGGGGAAGAAAAATGAGAGTTTTACATTCACACCATTTTTTTCCTTTGAAACTGAGCTGGATACAATTGGCTACTTGAAAGCAAGCATATATATATGTTTAATATTTAAAAGGAGAAAAAAATTATGATCAAATGCAGAGATAAAGAAAGATGAGAAGAAATCGGATGTCTGTTAATTTAACCGATACGATTACCTTTACCTAACTTCTCCTTGAGCTTTGGTTACCTGGGAAGGGTAGGATCTGAAAATATCATACGACGCACAAGCAAACAAGAATGCCATTGGGATGGCGATCACATCTGAAGAAGATTATTCACAGTGACCGTGACAGAATTAGTCCGCTGTAAATCCTGCAACATGGGGGATCCCTCTGAAGCATATAAAAAGAGATGGAAAATGATATTGCAAAAATTCTTACTATGAATGTAAACTAGTGTTGAGCCTAACATATAAATTTAACATATACTTTATAAGACAGAATATGATTTTAAATAAATAAAGATGAAACCTAATGTTGCATCATAAGAATATTAATTGCTACATACCACAAACCTGTTAACAGCATAATTATGAACTACTACGATATGGATGTCTGAAATAAGATGGGATAGTAGAGAGGTAGAAAGACAGGAAGAAATGATTACCAGTGTAATGGAACTATTCATATTTCTCCAGAGAGAGCCAGTTTTGAAACGTTTCTAGAGTAGTCTTTGAGTAGTCTTTAAACGAAACACACTGTGTAATACTTTAAAATATAGAATCTCGAATATTTTAGATAGGCATTGAAGGGGAACCAAGGAACATGGATACCAAGAAGACACAACACGAACCTGATGGAACATAATTTTCTAGAAGTCTAATACATTGACACGACAAGGACAAGTTTCTAAGTTCTTTTACTCATCTATGATATCTCATAAGAAAGTAATCAAATATGATAAAAGAGGTTGAAAAAACTAGCTACCTACTTTGATTTCTAATGATATAGTAACTTATATCAACCTATTTGAAAACGTCAAAAGAACACGTTATTTTTCTAAATAATTTAACAAGTTACTAAAAAGACTCGAGCCAATAATACTTGTGTATTTTGTATGCTTAAGCTCTATATTTTTCACTCTTAAAATTTAGCTTACAGTACAAATTTAGTCCCTAAAGTGTGGTGGTTATGCCTATTTAGTCCTAGAATTTTAAAAGTTCCAATTAAGCTTTGAATTTTAAGTTGTGATTTTATTTCGTCCCTATAGCTGACATTGGTAACAAAATGGTGACATAACATATCAATTAGACGAATACTAACTGATTTAGCATGTTGTGACAGAGAGATGACATAAAAAAGTACACAAGCAAGCAAAATAAGGTGGTACACGCAACATATTTTCTTTTCGAAGCAACATATTAAATCACCTCTTAAAAATCTCACCACTCTATTTTGTAGTCATCCATTCATTTCTACTATTTTTCTACCACATCATGCTAAATCAACCTATGCTTGTCTATATGCACGTCATGTCATCATTTGACATTTAATCATCTGTATCAACTGTAGGGACTGAGGAAGTTAAGGAGCGATAGATGCTCTAATGTGAGTTTCTTTCATGCATGAAGTCACAAGTGCCGATGCAAGCTCCATCGGTGCTTATTAAAGAAGAATATGTTTGATGAATAAGTTGCTTTTAGTGGAAGGTAAAAGTAGAGAGTACGGTTGCATAGTTAGTGGGGGAGGTTTTTATTTTTTTATATTAAAAAATAACTTAGAAAAAAGAGGAAAGTTTTATGCGGGGAGAAAGTCCAATGTTGCATAAAGAAGGATCTGGGAGGTGCTTTTGGAAGTAGGTGAGTTGGAGATAGTTTTAGGGTGCAAAGGGCGAGATACTTTTAGGGTAGATGAGTAGGGAGATAGACTTAGTTAGGGTGTGATGGGAAGGAATAGGGGAACGGATGAGTTGGAGGGCAATTAGAAGTCTTAATGTGAGACATAAATATGGGAGAATAACTTATCTTATTCCATACACCCGAGTCAAATATATATAGACATATATGGAAGCCCTAAACTAATAATAGAAACATTTCAATAAGCACCGATATGGTTACATATTATCATTGATGAAATGTTACTATGTAACATTGACAATAATAATAGTAACATTTCATCAATGAAAAATTTCATATATGGAACACTAACTTCTCATTGATGAAATCTTATTATTACTATTATTGTTTGCAAAGTCATATCTCATTTGCTGTTTTTTTTTTTTAACAAAAGTGCGAAATTTCATCAATGAAATGAAAAAAAAATTAATGCTCAAAAGTTACAAACTTCACAAATGAGAGAACAACGAAAAAATAAAAGCATTCTAAATGCGATAAAAATCTTGGATAAAATGTCCAACAAAGAGGTTGGTGAGAGAATAAAAGAGGCCTTCAAATGAGCCTAAATGAACCCATCTAACCAAAGAGGATTTTTGTTGTTGGAAATTCCTAGATTTCTTTAAAAACAAATTGTCAATGCAAAAACTTCTCATCATATCGATAAGAATGATGAAGAAGACAATTTGCACCTTAAATACAAGATAAGAATCTGAGGAATCGTAATAACAGTAACATATATGGAAACCACCTCAAGCACAAGGTACATGTGCCTTCTATAATACAAAAAAGGCTAAATAAATCCCTAGATAATAGGTAACATTAAAAATAAATCCTAGATACTAAGTAATGGATAGGACCACTTCCCTTATTTAATGGCCTTCACAAGTTTCTCAAAATGGTAGCAAAAATCAATAATAGAGTCATTTTCACAGCTACAGCTATGTATTTTGTTAGGTCCATGCAAAAGTTCTTATTCATGGTTTTTCTCTATATGATTGTCTTTGTTGTTTCTAATTTTCCTTTTTCACTCCCTTTGGGAATTTGTATTCTTTGAACTTTTAATCATAAGTTCT